GAATAGAATAACAATAAGAATAGAATAGAATAAGGAATAGAATAAGGAACAGAACAGAATAGGAATAGAAGTAGAGTAGAATAGGGTAGAATAGGGAAGAGGAAGAGAAGAGGAATAGAATAGAATAGCAATAAGAATAGAATAGAATAAGGAATAGAATAAGGAACAGAACAGAATAGGAACAGAAGTAGAGTAGAATAGGGAATAGGAAGAGAAGAGGAATAGAATAGAATAGCAATAAGAATAGAATAAGGAATAGAATAAGGAACAGAACAGAATAGGAATAGAAGTAGAGTAGAATAGGGTATAGGAAGAGAAGAGGAATAGAATAGAATAGCAATAAGAATAGAATAAGGAATAGAACAGAATAGGAATAGAATAGGGAATAGAAATAGAATAACAGAAAAAGTAAAAAAAAATCAACAGAAGTTTATTGATCAGCATCAGAATCAACAGCAACTTTATTGAGCATCAGACAGGATTTATATAGTTTCTTAGTTTCTCAGTTCTCACCTACTTTACATGTTATTTCATTATTGGTTAACAAATCTCCAAGGTACAGTAATTGGTTAGTAATTACATCATTGGCATTTGTGAGAACATGCATGTTTTCTCACACAATGAAAGAATCAAATGTTATACATTCAAAGCAGCAAAATGTTACAGGTTATACATTGTATCATCCCATGTCCTTGTTCATGCCTGGGAACACTGAAAAAGCAAAGAATTGCTGAAGTTTGCAATCACGTGTAACCACAGTTCTAAGAACCATCCAGATGATGCATTGTAATAACACTACACCTCATGGTGATGCCCACCTGAAGGGTTCAACTTTAGGTCAAACTGTAGTTCTGTATTGTGAGAGCAAGGATTGTGGGGATGACCCTACTGGCATCTTCTAGCGTGCAAATATTTGATAGTACTTTGCTGTTGAGCCTCAGCAGTGGGACTCGAGGGTGGATTGCAGCTAGCTTATCCATGACCTTATGCCTCAGCGGCTGCACTCTATAATGTAGCTGACATTAATGTAGCTCTGTAAGATACCTAACCTTGAAGTTCTTTACGTTGCATCGCAATAATACAGAAACACATAAATTGTAGCTACATTATATGTAACGTTTTCCAGGTTAATCAGCAGCTCATAATATTCCTTCTGATTTTTTCCCCCCTTACCTTACGCAGATTTTCTCACAAAAGTGAAGTATTTATTTTAGAAGGCAGCCCAAAAGAGTAAGAGCAGGGTTTGGTTTCCAGTCCTTCTGCTTCATCCAGGGACCGTCTTTTTCCTCCCATCGAACGGGGGTCTGGGGGTGGGCTGCAAGGTGAGGCCTCCAAACAGCTCCAGAATCAAACCTCCTACACCTATTCTGTCCTCCTCTACTTAAAAGGGGTATGAATGAGAAAAACAGCATCTATCCCTACCCAAATCATTCCCAGCAGGCTCAGCAAAGCAACCCCCATGAGAAGGGAGGGGGGAAAGAGGTGGAGACCCATTGTGTCCTTGCGGGGGGGGGCCTTCCTCAAAGCAGCTGAAGGCAGGTTAGCGCCACTTTGAGTGTTTGTTGCTTGCCCATTTCCAGTCCGTTCCTGGCACAAGCACTAACTTCACGCCTGTGAAACTGTGGTGTGTCTCGGTTCCTCTCACGCATTGTGAACAGGCTGCCGGCTGCCGAGGGACAGATTTTCTCTGCTCACTGCTCTGTGCCACCCTTTGTGGCTTCTCCAGGAGAAGAGGCCTTGCTGGCAATCAACCTGGGGAGCCCCAAAGGCCGTTGGGGGCTCGCTGGTCGACAACAGCCACACTTCCACCAGTTGGGTTGCCGAGCAAATCGCTCGGCAGCAAAGTAATAAACCAGTGGGTCCAGGCAGGCATTGAGGCTGGTCAGCGCCATAGTGATGCGACGAGCCACGTAGGTGGCGCGGACGAGGGTGCAGTCACCCAGGACACCCACCCGGCCCAAGGTGTGAACCAGCTGCACAATGTGATACGGTGCAAAGCAGACCAGGAAAACCCCAAGGACCACCAGCACCGTCCGCAGGGCTTTGCGTCTCCCTGCTCGGGAGCTTGCCTGCAATCCAGGGGAAGCCAGGAGGCGCCAGGCAATCAGCGGGTAGCAGACACCGATCAAAAGAAGAGGCAGCAGAAAGCCAACCACGGCAGCAAAAATACTGATGCCCGAGATGCGCCCCTTCCAGGAACTGGAAGAGAAGTTTTCAAGGCAGGCGGTGCGGCCATCGGCGAAGGGGCTGGTCAGGGACCCACGGAGGGCTAGGAACAGGATGGCTGCAATGAGAACCAGCCACACCCCCACAGCAGCCACCAGGCGGTAGCGCAGCTGCCGGAACTGGAGGTGCTTCAGGGGATGGACCACAGCTACGTAGCGCTCGAGGCAGATGCAGGCCAGGAAGAGGGAGCTGCCGTAGAGGTTGGCGAAGAAGAGGCAGCCAGTGATTTTGCAGAGGGCTTCGCCAAAGGTCCAGTCGTTATGACGGGCGTGATAAGTGATGCGGAAGGGCAAGGTGAGCACAAAGAGCAGGTCAAGGGTGGCCAGGTTCACCAGGAAGACATTGGCTGGGGCAGTGGCCGACTTGGTCCGGAGGAAGTAGCCCAACACAAAGAGATTCCCCGCTAGGCCGAGGAGGAAGACCAAACTGTACACCACGGGGAACAGGATGTACTGGAAGTCTGCACTCTCGGAGCAGGGAGATGTGTTATTGGAAGGCAGTCCGGAGTGGTTCCATGGCGGCAACTGGGACAGAAAGAAAAGCATTGTAACATTTAGTGCACATTTAATGTTTATTTGCTCTGACTCAGCACCCTTTCCCAGGCTTCTATGCCTTTATGGTAGGTTTGAAGGTCTGGCTGACCACGGAAGCCGAACCTCAGATGCTTCAAGCAACTCAGAGGCATGGAGTGATGGCTAATATTTGTTTATTCCCCATATTCCCAGACCACCGCTGGGCGAGATCATTCGGAGGCATGGGTTAAGATACCACCAATACGCGGACGATACTCAGTTGTATCTGTCCGCCCCGTGCCAACTCAATGAAGCGGTGGACGTGGTGAACCGGGGTCT